GTGTATATATGTATATACACATGCACATGTACATCTACTTATATATATACACATATAGAAACGATAACCAGGGATGTTTGCATACATATGTATATTTATACACATATATATATATATAGATTGCTAAATCGATAGACAAGTGGTGCATATATATATATATATATATATATGTATATATACAGATATACATGTAGAAGGTTAAGAAATGTGAGTAAAGATGAATACATACAAAAGATACAAATTTAATACATGTAGATATATATATATATATCCTATGTATATAGACACCTATATATATATATATATATATATAGATATACAAAGGGGACAAGCATGGAGGTAATATCCCGAAAACACATTTGTGGCTATGTAAGTTGCTACCATTTCTCCCCCCGCCCCCACTTCGACTAACCGTAGAGAATGTCTCTCGGGATAGAAGCCGCCACAGAGGACTGTGTCACACAGGTTCTGATCTGTAGGAGACTCAGGCATGACAGTCTCTGGCAAGACAGCCAGGATCCTCGAGAGTTATTCGAGTTAAGAGGTCTTTGTGTTATCGAAATTTACATAAATGATGTTTGTGTGGACTCTGAGGGCGACCTGGATAGGCTCTTGTCGACTGTTTTTGTAATCTTCATCATCTAGGTCCTCTAGGTCGCTTGATGGGGCAAGCGCACACGTTGCCGGCTGAATTGCAAAAATGAGCGGTTCTTGGCACTTTGTCGTTGCTCTGAAGCTGTCCGTTAGCTGATGCATAGTTCAGCGTTTCTATAAGAGTTGTGAACATCGTGTTTCTTCAATACGACAACTCTGTCGCCCAGGCCTCTGCCGCGAAACCTTCGAAAGCTGCCTGCAGAAGGCAGGCCTGGTCCACTGGTGCCAGCAAGACTGTGCACAAGAAGTTGAAGAACAGTCTGCACGGGCATGTTTATGTATAGCGCTTGCTTGCAAAGACTTCAGACAACTTGCAGAGCTGCAGAGTTCATGATTCACGCAAGCGGCTCATGACATTCCAGCCTCATCTTGCCAAAGCAACGTGGCCCGAAGTTCCATCTGGGTCGCCTGTTTTGGTGTATCGCTTGCCGAGCATGCTGTGTTTGGATTCGTTGCTCTGGCGTCTGAAGCAGCTCCGGGTTCCGAAGGCGGGACAGGCTCCATGTGTAGATTGATCGGGTTCTGAGAAATTATATAGTTGCTCTGTCAGGAGTTCGTGCTCTGCCTCCTTCTCCTCATATGGTCCTATGATGGCATCGAGCAGGACGGGTGAGTCCGAAGGCCCCATATACCTGTATAAACCCCTAAATCTCTCTCTCTCTCGATATATATAATATGTATGTACGTTTATATACTTATATAAGCCCCACCTAAACCCGTTGATAAACCCTGTGATCCCCTTGACATAAATATGTATATATATATATATATATCTATATCTATATATATATATAAGTAAATGAAAACCTATATATGTCCCAAGCAATGCCGCTTCGTGCCAGGACTTCCATTTCTTGGAGTTCTTCGCGGGACGAGCGCGGGTGACAGAGGCATTCCGCATGCACGGGCACTTGACAGCCAAGTTCGATATTATGTACCACACACCCGACAGTGACAAGAGTAACTTCATGGATCTGACAACGCCCAGTGGCTTCTTGTAACTCATCTGCACTTAAAAGATTGCCAGACGTTTCAGTTTACATGCTCCGTCTAGATGTAGCTGACTGAGAATATGTGGCTATATAGAGGCTGGCATGCTTCTACATTCTCCGCTGTGTTCCTGGAGATGCAATATGCCTCTTTGCGATCAAATGTTCATCGTTCTCTTCGATGAATGTTGGCACCAGCAAGCGTTCGGCTTGCAATTCCGTGGGCTGGGATCATGTTCCTACTGTTCGGTTAGGCAACCAACTTCTCGAAAGGCCCGGCTTTCTACACAGGGTTTTTGCAACATGGTTTCTTTGCACATAGGATTTCGTGGCCTATGTCACTCGGACTGCTTTTCGGGTGCTGAGCCCTGCCAGGTCAATCCTGCTCCTCTACCTCGCGACTAGCTTGGGGTTGACATGGATGGTCGAGCAACCTCGAGGTTCTGTGCTGGACATGTACCCGACATGGCGTCACATGCTTATGCAGCTCTACAGGGTTGCCGGGACACGCGCCGAAACTTGACTGTAGTTGTGTCGGTGTCCGTGCTGTATAATCTACGGAGCATGTGCATGGTATCCAAGGCTAGCCGTGTGTGTTGGTGGATGAGCCACTATGGAAGCCCAACCCCGAAAAGACACTACATGTGGTCCAATTCGGCCTCTGTGGGTGAGATCGACAAAGGCAAACTCCAGATGGTCACCCGCGGTAGCAAAGCACCTGGCCCGAAGTCTGCGAGGTACTACAGGAACAAGTCGGGCAAGAAGTGCTGGGAAGGTACCCGGCACCTCAAGAAGACCGAGTGCCTTGTTCATCATTTCATCTGTACACACATCGATGCAAGCACATATACGATGCAGTGTGGCAGCAATGGGGTCGACACGTTTGAGTGTTGCAACTGAGGGAGTATCCTATGGCTTTTGCAAGGAAACTCGTCAGTATGAATGAGAGCCTCAGACGCTCCAGCCGTGGCCAACCCGAGCTAGCAAACCCAGTGCCGGATGCTCTTGAAACATTTACGAGCATGTCCTGGGGTGATGAGTCTGAGTTGTGGCAGTATGCAAAACTTTCCGAGGTTTTCGTCTACATCAGAGGCGGTAAGCGCCTTTGCATCCCGGAGAACTGGGCACCTTTCATACCGAAGGCATTCCCTGGATTGTCTTAGTCGGCTTCGGGAGCTTGGGTTCTATACTTGTCTAATTTATATATAGTCTCAACCAATCCCAACAAAGCCCTTCAACTCTAGGAAAACCAAAGAAAGAAACGAGAGCTCAGGTACAGACTGATAGATTCCCAAGGAGCATATGTAACTTCTAACACGACAAACTAAGACTATGTAAACCCGAGCCGTAAACATATACCCTGCTTAACACCCTCTACACCCTGGTTCCCGGACCCTGCATCCTAAAGCGCGGTTCACGTATGCGGCAGACAAACCTTAAGTGCTCAAAAGCCACCCAGTAGGCTCCAAGTCTGTATATTTATTCAAGTATTTATAACTGCTCAACTAAAATAGCAAACCCTTAATTCGGATGCTGAAAGCCTGTGCTAACTTATATCGGTCATGTAAATATTTACACACTGGTTCAATTTGATTCCAAAAAAAGCTCGGCCCCGAAGAAATCAAGTTTCTGTGTAGAGCCCTCAAATTAGACATCCTGGTGCTGCTCTCTCGAAGAAGGAGCCTGTGGAGGTCGCCAGGCGTAGCTGCTGAAAGCAGCCGGTATCCTTGCAATATTATATGTTGTATATAAATAGAAACCATATAATAAGGAACCCCTATATATATATATATATATATATATGTGAACCTTAAACCCTAAAAACCCTAAACCCCAGAAACTAAAAACCCTAAACCCGAAAAGCCCTAAGCCCCAAAACCCTAAAAAACCCTAAAATCCCTAAACCTTATATAAACAGGGCGTAGCAACTTCGGGTTTTGTTGAGGGTCCTCGACTTTGAGGATCTGAAGGGTGCTCTTGGATACGGTGTTGCTTTCTTTTCCGGGTTCCTTTAAGGGGGACTCCCCTGGGGGGGTTTTGGGGCTTGAGGGCTTTAGGGTTCCTGGTTTGCGGGTTTTTTTGAGAGTTTTAGGGTTTATAGGGTTCATGGCTTTGGGTCGAGGGGTTTATATATATATATATATATAGGGTTTATAGGGTTCAGGGTTTATATACAAAAATATAGGGTGTATAAGGTTTAGGGTTCAGGTTCTGGTGGTTTTTGGCTTCGGCATTTCGGTTCAGTGCGTTCAGACCAAACTTGGGGAACAAAGCTTGCGAGTAAACTGTGATATAGAGGGAAAAGGACGAAGGCTGTGGTGGTGGTGTAAGGCGCGTATAGCAAGCAGCACCACCATGGGTGCCGGTTGTATTGACTTCTCTATATATATAGGTAGTTTCATATAAGCACCCCACACTAAACCCTATATACACCGTAAAACATCCTAACCCAAAAAACAAGATGAGTTCAGTGCAAGGGAACACCTGAAAACTTCACTAGACAAGTTAGACCAACTGCTCAAATCCTTTAGCCTAATACGGAATCGTCTACCTCTACAGACCGCAAGCCCCAAACCCTAAACCCCAAACCTTTCACATATATGCTTAGCGAACGCAGGGACGGGTGTAGGGCTGAATTAGTTTACTTCCGTGCTAGATAAATCGAAATCGAAAGGAAAGCCTTAAACCTGTACTATATAAACCTTTGACACGAACCCCCATATCCGGAACCCTATCTAGAAACCCACAACGACACGCCTTCGTTGCGCCTCCACATCAGAGCTGCCAAGTGGTGACAGCATTCGGATTCCTTGGCACAGCTTTGGTGTTTCTCTATATATATATATATATTTATATAGGTTTATTTATTTATATATATATATATATATATTTATTTATTTATTTATGCGCCTCTATATAGGTTTATATACATATATATATATACACACTCTTAAGTGCTTTCTAAATGGCTTACATGAGTCGAGGGAGACTATATTAATATATATAGCTATATATAGCTATATATATATATATATAGGTTCAAAAGCTATTAATGTTGTTTCGGTCTCGAGATGGCTTCTGGTTTTACAAGTCCTCTAGCTATCTTTGCAAATGGGCTGTGGGATGTCATTTCCACGGGTGGCCTGCGGGATTCAATTGCGCGGCATTGGCTCCTTATATATATATATATATGCTGTTATCAAGGGCCTGCGGGATCGTATTCTGGGCTTTGCCGGGTCTTTACATATATATATATATATGGGCTGCGGGATCCAGTGCTTTTATATAGGAACGAGGTCTCTGGAGTGCCTGTAAAACATTCGAAGCAGGGGCTGCGGGATCCGAAATTGCAGTGCCCCTTTGAATCCGCAGCTTTGCGGGAAGCAGTCAGCCTCTTCCAAAGTATTTTCCCGCGGTGTTTCAGTTGCCAAAGACCACAATTTCTAGGGTATTTGACCGGAACCCGCAATAACCCATAATTAACCCATAAAAAACCCATAAACAACCCATAAAAACCCATAAAAACACAACCGCACCATAATACCCTAGTTTCTGCAACCCGTAAGAAACCCATAAACATCCCGTAAATCCCCCGTAAATACCCGTAAATGGTTTATGGGTAACTACCACTCAGCCTAGAGTGCGGGCTCGGTGCTGCTGGAAGTAGGAGCTGCCTGCGTTTCCCAGGGCTTGACCTCGAGAACAGGTACCGTTAATTCGGGAAAGAAAGCTAATTGGAGCTTGGGGTTCTTGATCGAAAACATTCGACGATGAGTCTGTGCTGGCCGAGATCATGTAGCCGAAGCATGTGCAACAATCCGTCTGTAGGCACTTTGCATATAAATAGTTGGCTCGTTGGTATATACGGTTTTGCCTGCCCACTTGTACAGAAAAGCTGTGGGCACTATGGTTGGTGGCCCGGTGCAGTCCAAACGTTGGAGCTGCCAAACTTTGGATGATGGTATTGAGGCTGTCCTTAAGGATGCTAAGAAGGAACAAACAGACGCCGACGATGAAGAAGCGATGCTTCTTCGTGAACTGGAGGTGGGCTCTTATGCTGCTTAAGTTTTCTTTTCTGGGGGGTCACGGTCACGATGTGTTTCGACTTGTACGCATGTATCATATACGTGCGCGAGTTTGGTAGCACACTTCGTTCCGTGATTTGGTGTACTCTGATAGACCCTATAACAAAATGCCCGAAGTCGGCATGTGTGTCCATTCGCATGCGGAAACACACACAGCCACACAAACACACATACACATGCTACAACACAGACTTGTAGAATCCGAGGAGGCATGAAGAGACGTGCAGATAGGAACCAAATTACTGTATACATGTGTGTGTGTGTGCGTCTTTATACACATACACGCATATATATATATATATACATATGACTGTATATACATATATCTATATATATATATATAGGTGTATATGTACGTATACTCATTGAGACACCTCATACATACATATGAAAACATGTATGCTGCTACAAGCTTCATACACATGTTTATATAGATATACATATATATACATACACATAGATAAACATGTAGATAGGTGAGAGCACATAGAATAAACAAACATATGTGTGTATATATGTATGAAATATGTAGCTCTATATATATATATACAGGCATATATGCATGCATATGTTCAAACAAGGTATGTATGTGTATGTGCATATGTGTATATATATATACACATGCGTGTATCTAAAGCCTTCCATGTTGATGTATGTATATATATATATACATATGCACATACCTTCAGCATTCACACATATCCATGAATGATTATCATCAGCCGTCCACTCCAAATGGTGACAGGCTCTGGAAGCAGCTGCAGCCCATCAACAGAAGGCTCGTCTGCTTTCTGTCCTAGTGCAAACAACTATATAAAGGATTAAATATATCCCTATGTATAGATATCTTTGCAATGAAGACTATATATATATATATGTGAACTTATATGTATATAGACAAAGACAGAGATGTACAAGTATGTAAATATATACATATATATATATATAGATATTTATGTTTGCATATATCTATCTAGAGAGAGACAGAGAGACAGAGAGAAAGTGAGAGAGAGAGACTGAGTGAGTGAGACAGAGAGACAGAGAGACAGAGAGACAGAGAGAGAGAGAGAGAGAGAGAGAGAGGGAACTTGTCTTCATGTCAGGGCCCTGCCTCATCAGCTACTTCGTCCCTCCCTGCGACCCCATCCCCGCCGAGTACCCGCACGATCCCTTCTGTGCCTGAACTTGCTGCGCAAGAAACTTTGCCAGTGACTGTCTGAGCTTGTTATGTATGCGGCATGAGGTATGTACTTTCTGCTCCATTCCTACTGCATGTTGAGCGCTCCATTTGCCTAGGCTTCGACGCAAGAGCTCCAGGATGCAGGATTGGATCTGGTGCCAGCGACTGTGGGAAACGAAGGGGGTGTACAGGACGATGCTTACATGGTCGCTTGTCGTTTAACCCCACAACTTTCTGGAACTTCTGTATTCACTACATAGAAACAGAAGTATGTGTACAGAGAATCAGCCACTGAGGTTGCCACCGACGATGAAGCCTTGCAGATGTGCGAGGACGCGAAGCTGAAAGCCGAGTTTGAGGCCTCACAAGCCGTATGCAAGGCAGAGGCTGGACGCGTTGCAGATGCTTCCCGGAAGCGCCCTCTTCCCACACCTGTTCGTGCTGAACTTTGGCCTAAGAGATCGCGAAAGCCCCCTACCCGCCAGGACCACATTTCACTTGATTGCCTGTGTGCCTGCAGCCTCTCACATGTGTTTGTGGCGTTGGTCCTATGCTGTTTGTTCTGTTGCTGGTCAGCAGGAGCGGCTCCTGGCGGCCGCCAAGGCTCGCATATCGAGAATGGTTGCCCCGAAATCCAAGCGGAAGGAGCTAGAGGTGCCGCCATTTGTTTCCAAACAGTGGCAATCTGGCAACAAGTCAGAGATGGGAAACCTCCTGATGGCAGTCAACTTCTGCAAGGCTGGGTTTCAGCTTCGTCTGTCCTGTGGGATACATTGTGTCGAGACTTCAGCACATTACAGTTTCCTATGTGCCTGCCATAGGACACCTTCATTTGCCAGCTAGAAGTTATCGTGAAGAGGAAGCAGAAGTACACGATCACTGTCGACGAAGGATGGTACAGCAGAGATGAAATGATTAATGAATTACATTGGACCCCGTCTTGGCCTCATTGGATGTAGAAACCATGGGGCCTCATCATGGTATGCATGGCATCACACACAGATGAGGAAGCGTGTGCAGTCCGCGATCAAGTACTGCGAATCCCTCGCCTCTACGCACATCAGGCAGGAATCCTCCGAAGTAGTGCGCAAGCAAGCCTTCAATTTGTGCACGTGCATATAAACCACTGCCTCAGCAATCCCTTATAGATTGAACATGTACGACAACGAGAAGGAGTACTGGGTCAAACTCCGAGAAAGCGGCACGAAGAAAGAGGAGCTCTCTCACGAGGAGATCCGCCGCTCCCTGAAGGCACTCTGTATACAGTGTACATGATTAAACAGAACGCAGCCAAGATGCACGCATATGTATGTGTGTGTATATATATATATATGTATACACACCTCATTCCGAAGTGAGACACACACGGCATTGTATACATATATGCACACACATGCACATATATATATATATATCTAGAAAAGTTATGCACACAACAGAATCATCAGCAATATACTTTACATATGTACACACACACACATGTAAAGTGTGTATACATATATATATATATACACTATATATAAATATATACTATATACGCATAGACGGATCTTGACATAGACATATAATATATATACATATACATACATACATACATACATACATACATACATACATACATACATACATACATACACACATACATACATGTGTCTGTATATGGAACACGTGTGTATGTATGGGCATATATATAAATATATATATGTATATATGCTTGCTCATTTCTTCGCATATATGTATTTTTTTATACGACAAGACTGAAGCTGCAAAAACCAACATCTCTGCGAGAATCCCTTCCAAACCCAAACGCAGGCGTAGAATCCCTGGGACAAGGGGTTTAGGGTCTAGGGTTTCGGGGGTAGGGTTTACGGTTTAGGGGTTTGGGTTTAGGGTTTAGGGGTTTAGGGGTTTAGGGTTTGGGGTTAAGGGGTTATAGGGATTAGGGTTTAGGCTTTAGGTGTTAGAGTTAGGGTTTAGGGGTTTGGNNGGTTAGGGGTAAGGGTTTAGGGTTTATATATATATATATGTGTTGACATAACAATACAACAATCTATCCATTCACCCGCAAATAATATCCACTATATGTGCTGTGAATTACATGGGATTGTTGCTTACGGAAGCCCCACTTGGAGAGGGTCTTCATACATGGTTATGATTTTCGATATAGGCAGACACATTTTTCAGAGAATCCTGAATTTTTGATGCTTTGCCTGGAAATCTGCATTCTGTTATCTATATGGGATGATGACTTAGTTTCATTGAGAATTCGAACCCATTCCTATCCCACGATACCCTCAATCTCCGCCTCCTTCCAACAGGGCCTGGGCCAAGACGAAGAGGTGAAGCTGCCCGAGTCCTCCTTCGGCGGCTTGGACGCGGCTGCGCTTCGGGACGACTCGGCTAAGGAAAAGGCCAAGGAAGAGAAGCCGGAGGATGACAAGTTCAAGCGGGTGGGGTCCTTTGGGTGTTACGAACCTGTGTTGAAAGCTGTGTCTGTGTCAGTGTGATTACGTTTTCTCAAAGCTGTTCCCTGCAGACCGAAGACGCCCTGCGGAAGCTCTCGGATGCGCTGTTGCAGAAGGTGAAGAAAACGAGGGCTTTGGTCAAGGAGCTGAAGACCCAGTACTCTGCAGCAACTCCAGATGTAGCAAGGCACATTCCCTATATATATATATATATATGTAGACATGCTTTCTCGCCAACACATTGAGACCTTGAAACCAAACAACCTTAACTCACTTCTATAACCCGCTTCAGGGCCATCTCCACGCTCGACAACGACATCAAGGGCCTCGAAGATGCGTATGACAAGGGCCAGGAGATCCAGATCGGCTGTGGCGTTGCCGGCGCCTGGACCGAGGAGCAACTTTGCTGAACTAACACGGACCGATTCGTAAATACCGAGACATGGATGGCTCTGATGGATCCAAGGACTTGGAAGAAGGCCGAAGCGCACATCCGAAGTGCCACCTTCTTGCCGACGCCTCATGTATATAGACTGTCTAGACTTCTCCCAACGATCAAACCCCGAATCCTTGAAGCCGCCCCAGTACCCACGGATTCAGGTCGTCACGTGCAACTGCAACCGAGCAGAAGATCAGGCGCGCACACCGGGGAATTTCTATATATGTACTTAATGCGAAGTTCATACATGCTGTTTATTCGGCTGTGGGTTTGGGGACACTACTTCCGCTGTTGAGGGCTCGCAGTCGATACACATACGTAAGATGTTGGTACTTGGGGCCAGGAAACCTCTATATATGTATTGAAGCACCGGTGTAAGCCTGTCTACAACCACACACCTTTGACCCAGAACCCTATATTTCCTTTGCGTATATAGAACACCACTGCAGAAACACGTTACCCGTCCGTTGCTCGCCACGAACTCAATATCTGATAAACAAATTTTATCCACCACTTTTGCCAGTCTCCGAACGTTTAGGGGTTTCGGGCTAGGGTTCATGGCTACATATATATATATATATGTGGAGTTTGGGGCGGGGCGGAAGGGTTCAGGGGTTTATGGAGTTTACATATATACTATCTGATTTTATATATATATAGAGAGAGAGAGAGAAGTGGGTATGTACATCACGGGTTTACATCTTTCGATGGAGCTTTAAGGTTCTACAGGGTCACCTCGAGAAGAGTCCGAATCTACATATGTATATATATATATATATATACGTACCATAACCCCTCTCTCTCCATATATACATCTATATATACATATATTTATTTATTTATGTATATATATATATAGTCTTTCTACGCCCTAATTACCTAATTAACATAAGACAGATCCAAACAACTTCCCAGTAACCAACTTCTACTGCCAGGACCTCTGCCAAGCCCTTCTTCGAGAAGTCGAAAATCGAGCCTGCGCCCAAAAAGGGTGCCCAGCCGAAGGCCAATCCAAAGGCCCATCCGAAGGCCCATGGCAAACCTGCTGGGAGCAAGAAGAAGTAGATGGTGAGCAGAGCTCTAATTCGCTGTGGCTCTGTTGGTGTGCAGCATGGGCATTAGTCCGGTATGTCCCGTAAATTGCCTCTATTGGCTTTGGTCTTGGCACAGAACTTTATGTATATATATATATATATATGTTTTGTGTTCCCTCACCTTCCCTCTCCTTCTCTTTTCCTTTCTGTTTTCCCCATATGTATATATATATATATATATGTGTATATATGTATATGCATATCAGGCCTTATAAAGGTTGTTGTTCTTGTTGCCTTCTTCTTTTGTCGCTCTCTTCCACCATCGCATCTCTCCTCTGATTCACTCACTCTCTCTCTCTCTCTGTGTCTTCGTCTATCCGATGTTAGGGCCAAGTTGGATTCCAGAGGAGTGGCTGCTGCCGAGAAACAGAGCAGCTCAGCATTCTAGGTGCACACGAGTGGAAGCATTTCCACGTTTCACGGGGACAGCTGTCTTGGGGCAACCAAAACAAACGCGATCTCGCTGAAAGCTCTACTGCACGCAAGGTCTGAGTTGACTGATTTTTCTTAGCAGTATCTGCCAATGAAATCAATGCCAGGTGTGATGCCTGGCCGAGCGCTGCGCGGCATAGCGCAATCCGTTGGAGCTGGAGCCGCAACCTGAGACCGGTCTTTTGAGTCTTCAGTGTTCTGCACTCGTTGTTGGATCAATGCTTGGTCGCTGCCAGAAAGCATCTATCCAGGCTTGGCTCAGTCGCTCGCGGCAACGATAGTTCGAAGGATTGGTTTCTATATGCCATCGAACACATCAACGGCTTCAAAAGCCTACAATAGCTGTCTATGTGGGGTGGCGGTGGGACTTGTGTATATGTGTTCGAAACTTGATTTCTGCTAGACTGTTTCTTATAGTCTTGGCATGGGTGATGGCAATCCGGATCGCTGCCCTGATTCCGATGATGACCTGCTGGACCTGTTGACTTCTCATCGTTCTGTCTGCTCGGCAGCATCTATGTTGTTGCTGGCTTTGGCTAGATCGTACGACACTTCTGTACACATGCATGTATGAGTTTTCTGAAAACCCAGGAAGCCGAGGGTCCGTTTCCATGGCCATGCAAGAGGACTCCAGCGCTGCAACCCACGAACACTGCTGAAGATCGGTTTCATGCTACTTTGATTTCCGATTACCTGAAGAGAGTGCGAGGTGACATAGAGGCCAACCCCACGCCTTTGAAACAACAGAAGAGGATTGAACATCAGCCCACACTTCCACAAGTGAAATCGTGCACAGCTGAGTGCCAAACCTGTGAACATATCTCGTCCATCCTGCCCCGTCCCGGAGCGGTCGCAGGGAAAGTCCTTCAGCATGCAGCACGGCAGTTGCAAGCTTTATTTCGTCAGAAAGAACCACTGATCTTCAAGATTGGCTTCACACATGACGCCCTCTGGCGATGGACCAACACTCTCTATGGCTACTTGCATGATGCTGATGGATGGACTGACATGCTCATCCTGTATTGCAGTGATGAGCCCCATGGCCCTGGAATGCTGGAGGCTTGCCTTATAGATAAGTTCAGCTGCAACTCGCTTGCAACAAACGTTGCTCTTGTTTAAGACAGCCAACCATGGGTGAATGCAGGATTTTTTGCTTTGCTCTACCCGAGGCAGGCCTGGGTGTCGCAATGTGAAGGCAGGCGGAGACACAATCAAAGCGGAGCTCTCTACCTCGGAAAGCAAGTACATGGTATATGTTGTGTACAAGTCTTTGAGAAAACCTTTCACACGAAAGCAGCCATCAAAGTGCTGCAGCTGTGGTGCGCTAGTGGAAAAATAACGTCAGGCTCGATTGCTGCATGTGTTTGACACCGACTGCGTGGCAGCTGCTTGCACTGTCTGCGTGTGTGGTATGTTTGTATATATATATATACATGTATGTGCGTGACTGAACATCTTTATACACATATATATATATACATACATACATGGTCAGTATCTCGTACCAAGTCTGTGTACATGGCTCGCCGAGGCCAGCTACCGATCAGCGATTCGAACTGCACGTGACGTGGTTGCAGACATCGGGACGGAGGCGGCTTCTGCAAGCGGGGGCCTTGTGGAGTTAGCAGCCCTGTCTGAAAATAGATCCGAAAGAGATGGTGGGCGACTTTTACAGGGCAAGGCTGGTCTCAGTTTGCCGATTCCACTTACAATGCTGGGGGAAGGGGACCTTGCTTTCCCAATTCTACGATTACGCGATTGGGGGCAGTTTCTTGCTGATCGGCACTGCCTCCACATGTTGGTCGGCTTGAACAAGCCAGACTGGAAGAGAGAGTGCGATATATGTGAAGAGTTTTGGACACAGTACAGAAAGCTTATGCCGAACAACTCAATTTTCCAGCGCTTCGATCAGGGTTTGATGGATCCACGGGGAACATTTCCGTTTTGCTACCACGGAGACGAAGGCCGGGGCAGGCGTCGCTTGCCCTTTTTGGTGTGCAACTTCCACAGCCTACTCGGCAAAGGTACACAAGAGCAATGTGGCCAAAAAAGGCCTTACCTCAAGCTCCGGATGAATTATCGGGGCAACAGCCTGGTCACAAGGCTTCTTCATTGCGCCTGCCCCAAGAAGCTGCACCAGCAGAGCCACATTTTTGATGCTTTAATGGAAAACGCAGTCTCAGAATCTGAGTTTATGGTGAACACCGGTGTGGTGCAACACTACACAGGCCGCAGAGCCCGAAGGCTTTTTTCGGTATAACGTTCATGTTCGCTGCTTGTTTATTTGTCTTAAACAACAAACAGTTTTAGCTTATGTACGGTTATAACGGTTATCTCGGCTAAGTGTGGGATGTAATTCCGACGATCGTTTCCTGGCTTCTTTGCAATCATGAAGAAGCTGTCTTGCCCAGGTATGGTTCGCGGTGCTTGCGATCACAGGGGATTGGCCTTGGTTGCACCGCTGCGGCTGCCTTTGCCGGAGTTTTAACAACGTCCCGAAAAAAACTGGTGACAAGATGACTGGGGTTTGTCATCGATGCAACGCTGGCGCCGAAGGCGTGCCGTGGGAAGAGGTTCATCAAAGGGATCCAGCTTGGTTGAAGACCACTTTTGCGGACAGTGCATTCACCAGTGTGCCGGCTATCTGTCGGTTACTTTCAGTTCCCGGCCAAGAAGAGGGGTTGCTGGCCTTCGACTTGTTTCATTCGTATCACCTTGGAATCGGTAAACACTTCGTGGGCAGCTGTTTAGCTGTCTTAAGCACCCAGTTCCCTGGCCGTGGTGTAGACGATCGTTTCAAAAACCTCGAGGCCAGCTTCTTCTCTTGGTGCAGATCGCACAACGAAGTTCCTGTCTTGACGCGTTTGACAAAAGAGACCATCCAGTGGCCGGCCACCACTGATTATCCATGTGGCAACTGGTTTAAAGGCTCCGTGACAACAGTCTTGTCGAAATATCTGGAAGCGACCCTTTGCTCCCGGACCTGGACGGACGAGCCGATGCTCGACAAAGCTGGGGAGGCAATCAAGTCTATGAACAGCTGTTTGTCTTCACTTTATGCGTCGGACGTGTTCATCAGCCCCCCCGCGGCGGCCGTCGTCATCGCTGAACAGGGTTTGAAATTTCTCAGGCGACTGTCCTGGCTTGCAAGGGCTGCTGTGAACGAGGGCCGCACGCTGTGGCTTTTAACGCCGAAAGCACACGCTGTTCATCATCTGTTTTTAGAAGATATGTTGCTGCCTGCTCAAAGGGGCCTTTGCCCGATGAATCCTCTGACACTCAGCGTGCAACTTGATGAGGATGCTGTGGGCAAGGCTTCTCGCCTCGCCAGGCGCGTGGATCCGCGCACTTGTTCTTTGCGGTGCTTGCAGCGCTATTTGTGCGCTGCATATTCGGAGTACGTGAAAGCCCGATACATCATTCCACGCTCATAGTTGCGCATGCTTCTTTGTATGCTACGACTGGAAGTTCTCCCCACACTGTAGGCACACATACATATTTATGAATGTACATATAATCATCGATATGTGTTTCTTTGTGCGCAGTGTGTGCGTGGAATCTGGGCCCCAAGCAACTGCAGTCTGAGCCGCGATGGTGAGCAGAAAGGCCACAGCAGCGGATCCAGCTTGTAGGCTCTCGGATTGATTCAGGCTTTCAGAAGGGTCATGTTTAGATCTATGTTGAAGGTGTGGGGGTGTGCAACACAGGAAGATTTCGGAGTTAATTGCTATTTCTGCAAACCTCTTGAAATCAGGGTTTTCCAAGAACCCGTCTTTCCCCTAAAAAACCCGGTTTTGTCCCATAACCCCTTTTTTTATAGGCTAACGGCTCCGTAGGTAAACCCTAAGCCCTATAAACTATATTTCTCACTTGCCTTGCCCTTTCGGGATTTTCTAAGCCTTCTGCCTGGCCCGAGGAAGCTTTTAGGGCTCCTCTGGGAGGGCTTCCTCGGATGGAGGGAGGCCCTTCGAAGGCTGGAGCCTTCTAAAGAGGCGCCTCCAGACGGTTCCCTGCCTAGCTTCAAAAGAGCAGGCCCGCAGCAGGACCTGAAGGCCAAGACCTTGCGGAGAATTCACAGTTTTAGCAGAACGGTGGGACTTTTTGAGCGTAAGGTTTGGACCATGACGTCTAAAGACTCAGGGTTCAGGCCTTCAGGTTGGCCTGTAGGGTTTAGGCTTGGGGCTTAGGGTTTATAGTGTTTGGGGTTTGGGTTGTATGATAGCGGTTCAGCAGCAAGGGATGCTGGATTTGGGCAACGATTACTGGGGCCTTAATAATTGGAATAGGGTTTTGGGGTATATTATACTATACTTAAGGAACCCACCCAAAATTCTAGTGGTAATAATTTATAGGCTTCTACAGTAGATTTCAAACCCGAGGCAAGAGGTCCATGTACTGATATAGGCTATATACCTCGCACAGCATAGGGGCATAATCTGGATCCTATGAAGCCCGATAATGAGCCCGGGCGTCGTCTGCAGAGCAACTCGTGGAAACTAGTCGGATACTGCTATGCACATTCTTGCTTGGAGCTGACCTTACTCCTGCTGCTTATGTTGATTGTCTTGCACATGATCCTCGTGTGTGTGTGTGTGTTGTGTATCCGTACTATGATCATTGTGTTGCCGCCTTTGTGCCGGCTGCTACCCCTGTTTTCTGTCGAGTGCTTCTGTTGATTCTGCAAATCTCGGCAACATCGGTTGATGCAGAACCTGCTTACTGCTACCACAACAGCCGTGCTTGGCCCTACTGCTAGGGGTTGGAGCACTCTGCCGGGCAGCGGGTGTGCTGCTCAATCGCCGCCATGCCTGCACGAGAACGGCAGCCTAACATGTGCACCGCCTCTTTACTCACAAGCTCCAGTCCACAAGCTTCAGCTTCAAGTAACAACGGTCGAAACCCAGAAGCCCATGCACCAATCCCTAAACCAAACCCCCAAACCCCAAACGCCTAAACCCTTATAAACGCTAAACCGTAACAGGCTCCTTGGACCGATGACTGGCTTGTCGGGTATTGTATCTACCCCTAGGCCGTAGAAGCCCTACCTGCAGCCGGTTCCAGAGCTCCTTGTCATGGTTTCCATAGCTAGAGATAGTTCCTTGAAAAGGCACGTCTTTTGGGCCATAGGTAAACCCTAAGGCAGAGGATACGTAAACCTTTATGGAACCCTTATCATACCCGTGTAGAGCCCATAAAACCCCATATAACCCTTGACCCGTAGCCCTTACCCCCTAATAAGCACCATAAAGACCCCTAGAGGAACCTTCAAACAACAAGAAACAACTCAAAGGACCCCTGCATGGAAGCCTTACAGGCACCCTTAAAGAAAATCTTCAAGTCTGTATCACTAAACACTAAACCCTTATAGGATACCTCAAAAGGGGCCTTAGGGGATATTTTTGGGAATAACTATAGTTATGGAACCCCAAGGAGTCGTGTTGGACACTACCCCAAACCCTAAACCCTGAACCCCTAAAGGAAGCCTCAGAAAAGGTCCGGCCTCCAACTCTCTGCAGGGCCTCAAAGCCATGCCGGAGCGAGGCGATCCCCAGGAAGGCCACTGTGCCGTCCTTTCGGGTTTAGGGCTTCTCGGGTTCATAGGCTTTAGGGTGGGTTTATGGGTAGTTCTCTAAATTAGGGTCCCTTTTGGGGTTCCATTTTATAAGGGTGCCGTACTATATTGGGGACCTAAAAAGGGACCCTACTTTAGAAAACTACCCTTATAGGAATTATAAGGTCTAGGGTCTAGAGAGCTGAAAGGGATTAGGGTTTAGGACTCACAGGGCTTCTAGGGTTTAGGGCCAAGGCCCTAGGCCCCTAAGGTATACCTACCTCCTTAAGGAACATTCATATGGGTAGTTCTCTAAATCAGGGTCCCTTTTGGGGATCCACAATACAGTACGGTTCGCAGACAGCACGCCCTCAAAACAAGCTCGAACTGCTCAAGCCACGCCAACCTGTCCCCCACACGCGCCTGCTCCGATTCAAACAGCTCGACCCTGTCAGAGAGCACTCGGAAGGGGGACTCGAGATTGTCGTGGTCGAGTGGGTTCAAGTGAGAGCTGATCCGTTCGATGGAGCTTGTCCTGACCCGCCCGCAGGCGAAGTGGAGCCTGACATCGGCACCGACGAGCCTCTACCAGCGGCCACCCTTGAGCATGGAAGCTCGTGCTGGTGCTGCTGCTGTGCTTGTGTTTTCCTGCACCACTGCACCGTGTTCCTATTGCCCTTTCACAGGAGCTTGGCAATGAGGTCGCCGAGTGCCTCAGCTCATGTTAGTTCGCAGCGCATGTCAGAGACTCAAGAGAGGCAGACACGCTCTCCAAAGGCACATGCGTGGCTGAAGCAAAGTGGAATGCATGCGAGCCAACGCCTTGCTCATTTTCCGGCATCACACCCGGTATAGGGTCTCAATGGAGAGAGGCGTCGCTCTCTCACAGACGCTGTGTGGCTTGCAGCTGAACAGGCACTCCAAAGCTTTCGGCGTAACTTCAACGGTCTTGCACAACAAAAGGCTCGGGCAGATGGCCATGCCTAGCCTACGAAACCCTTATGAATCCCTTTAAGGAACCCCAAAAAGGAACCCCAAAAAGGAACCCAAAAGGGACCCTAATTTAGAGCAAAATCAAAAGACCGCTCCGGCTCAGCAGATCAAGAGACAGCCCCGGCTGAAGAAAGGCAACCGAGCTACCATGAAGCGCGGCTGCAATCATGTGAAGAAGGCCACACCCTTTTGACAAGGACCCTAAAAGGAACCCTGATTTAGAGGAGAACTACCCTTATAGAAACCTTTCTTTGATCCCTTTCAGGAACCCTAAAGAGGACCCTAAAGGGGACCCTAATTTGGAGAACTACCCATATGATGCAGGAAAACAGAACAACGAGCCCTGAAAAGGTAGGCTCTGCAGCGTCCAGGTAGGGCTGATGTAAATAATTACCAACACTATTTTTTGGGGCTCCTTATTATAATTATAGTATCATGTGGCCCCAAAACTCAAGTCATTATTAAGGGTCCTAAACCCTAAACCCTTATAGTAGCCCGTATAGAACCCGTTCAGGAACCCTTTTAAAGGAACCCCACCCCCCCCCCAAAAAAAAACCTTTTCTAATTCTAAAGGCCCCCACCTTAAGGGTTCAGAGCTTATGGCCGTGCATGGTTGTTGCACCGGTCCGAGAGGGGATGGTGGGGGAAGGGGTTTAGGGTTTAGGGTTTCGGGTTTGGGGTCTAGGGCGAGGAGAAAGTTGATAAGCTGCGGTAAATCGTGGTTTTGGAGGTTTCATGCGTTGAAGGCTTGGCGACTGAAAATTTGCAGCTTCAGAATGCACTTTGGCAGCTACTAACCTGCAGCCTCATGAGACCCATCTAGCGATGATTCTGATCCAAACCACAAACCCCAAAACCCCGGCTCCAAAACCCCAATACCAAAACCCGAAACACTCCAAAGCCCCAAACCCGCGATGAGCGCAAGTCCTCGAACCGCTCGGCGATGCGGCCCTTGAACACCTCCATAATATCTTAACCCTAAACCCCTGAACCTCAAACCCAAAACCCCGAGTTTAGGGGTTAGACTTCGAGCATAGGCTTCCTTTAAGGGTTCCTTTAGGGGGGGGGGGGTCCTTTAAGGCTTCCTCTCAGGGTTCGTGCAAGGGCTCCTTGAAGGGTTCTGTTAAGGTTTCTTTTAGAAAATACACGCCATGGCGGCGTACCATACTGTTCTTTTAAGGGTTCCTTGAACGGGTTCTATAAAGGTTTATGAATGGGCTTCCGGCGTAAATTGCAGACATCTACAGAAGTCGCTGTTATGGGGGGGGGGGTAGGAGTATGTCCAGTCTGAATCCAAATTTGTTCACAAGGTTGTTGAACGAAATTCGTTCCATACAAGGCATCTCATGGTGGTAGTGGGTTTTGCATCTAGAGCCGGGGTCAAGCCAAGCAAAACCCCTGACCAAATTCAAGCCGCCTAACCCTAAACCCTAAACACCCTAAACCCTAAACCCTAAACCCCAAACCATAAAGCAAAACCCTAAACCCTAACTACACCTGATTTGAACGCCAAAGTCCTAAGACCCTGCAACTCCCGACCCGAGAAGCTGTGGCCAGGGACCCCAAAACCCTAAACCACAAACAGTTGGCCGCACTGTTTTGGGGACCTTAATTGGGTGGTTGTCAAAATTCTGGTCCCTTTTTTGGTCCTTATTATAATACGGCACCTATTATTTAGGGTCCCCCAAAAGGGACCATAATTTTGACAACCACCCAATTAAGGGAAACTACAGCTGGGGAGTTTAGGGTATGGAGGGCTTCTGTAAGGCTTCCATAAGGTATATAGACCTTCTATAGGGCTTCTATAACGGTAACTACCCACCTGAAAATGTCCTAGACTTAAGCGGGACCCTAATAATTAGAGTTTAGGGTTTAGGGCCTAATTTAGAG